ACAAGCTGGCGCTGTTACAGGCAAAGGCAGAGGAGCCAGAGAGCTGAACCAAAGAGCCGGGGCGGGTGCCCATCCTGTGGTGCCAGTTGGTGCCGGGTTTCCGCCCCATCTGCCCTCCGCAGGGGCTGCTTCCGTTGAAGAGCGCCGGCCTGGGGCCCCCCCTCGTCTGCCTTCGAAAATGTACGGACGGAACTGGAGGGAGAGGGCGACGCGTTGATTGTGGGGGAGGAAAAAGGCCCGGATCGAGGGCAGAGCGGGAGCTGGGGCCGGGTCGGGGGCTGGCCACACAGGGAAATACCGCTCTGCTCCGTTACATATTTCACAACATTATCGCTGAACACTGATTTTTTTAAATTACTCTAGGGAAATATTTTCTTTCCAAACAGATTCCATCCCAAACGATGGTGCAAATATGCTCCCCCAGCGCCCGTCTCCCATTACACCAGTATCCGAGCATCTTCCTAATCTGCGTGTGAGGTCGGGAAGCGCCACCAGCCCCATTTCCAAAATGGGGAAACTGAGGCCTAGAGAGACCGAGTGATGTGCCCGAGGGCACCCAGGAAGTCTGTGGCAGAGCAAGGGGCAGAGGCCGGATGCTTTTTCTTAAGGATGTTCCCCTCCTCCCGCCCCCCAGTCTGGGCTGCTCCTGGATCGCTCCTGCTTCCCCCTGTCCTTTGTGCCCCTGCTCTGCTCCGGCTGCCGAGCCCGGATCGGAACCGCGGCAGGGCTGGGCCGGGCTGGGGGGCGATGGAGGCTGGAAGCCACGTTGGTGCCCCCCAAGTTCTGGCCCCGGCACAGGCAGCCCCAGCAGCTGCTTGAGCTCCGGGCAGGTCGGAGAGGCCCTTGTGCTCTGTGCTGCAGGCCGCAGCCGCCCGCCCGGGGAGAGCAGGTCCAGGGCCTGGAGCTCGCGGCGCAGAACAGCTGGGGCAGGCTGCGGGAGGGGCGGGGCCGCGTGAGCACATATGCAGATCTCCATGCGAGCGGAGCATTGTGGGAACGGGACCACGCTGACGAGCACGGCCCCAATTGATCGTGCGGGGCTCGGTGGCGAGAAGGATCCGAGCCCGGAGCCTGTCGGAGCAGCTGG